ATATCTTAAGGACAAAAAGACTTCGAAAAAACAGGCACGTGTCACCCTGACGTATAAAACAACTACGAAGTTCATGCAGCTGTCTATGAGTCATCTTGGACGAGGAAATGTTAAACACCCATATGTGTTTGAGAAGGGAATAGCGACACACGTGGTAACAGCAGTGCTGTACGGTGCTCAGGCATTTTTTGTTTTTGATCGAGAAATTTCAGAAACTGAAGTCCAGAAAAATATTGAGGGGAACCTGCATTTGATGATAAAGAAAATACCAAAATTGTCAATCGAAGGGGAGGTTGACTTAAAGCTGACAGACACTGACAGAGCTACTGTTGAAAAGTTTTATTGTAAATTCTATGGGGACTTTGCCCTGAAACAGAACCCTGTTTCCTACCAGGATGCTGTAAAAGTATACACAACACTTCCAGATCTGCTGGGTGAAAAGGGGGGAAACGCTGTGCCAGTCAGGGTGTGGTTACTCCCCCTAGAAATCTTAGATTCTTCTGCTGCCAGAATAGTGCGTCAGATCAGTGTCAGATTAATAAATGAAACACAGAGAATGATAGAGGACTTCAATGAAACAGAAATGCAATGCAGTGATATTATGAAGAGAATGGTTATTTCATACTTTCATGAGATTGGTCGAAAGGTAAAATCCTTCAAGGATATGTGCTTGGAGTACAAATCAGTGTTTCAGAGATCTTTGTCACGCATTTTACCATCAATTCGTGGAGGTGGAACAGAGGAATGTGTGCTTGCAAACATCCTAACAAAGAAGGAACAGTCTCCCTTCAATAGCAGTAAACTTAAGGAATGGCTGGACTGCAAAGAGGAAGAAATCAACCTGCTCCAATTGTACACTGATATGATGGAAGACACAGAAATTGTGGCATCAAAGAGTGAGCTTCAAAGTGAAATCTTAAAAAATAGAGATAAGAATGTAGTGTGCTTTGCATTCACATCACTGGGTGAGGAGGAGCCGTATCTGTCCTGCTTACAGAGTCACTTAAAGGCTCTTTCAACTGCAAAGCTAACAGAACCAACAGAAGAAGATGGGAAGGATGTCGAGCCGTGTGAGTTTTACTTCTCAGATGCCATGTCTGAAAAAATGAAAGAACAAGCAATCCTCTTCATAGATTTTGCAAAAGCAAACAAGGAGAATAAGGAAACACACTTTATATCAGCATCCATACCTAATGATAAACACAAAGGGGCAAGTATCTACCTTTACAAAGATGGGAATAAACAAAGTGACCATTTTGAGCCTCCGTCAAAGCCAGAAAGACCAAATGCATCTGATGTCACTCATGACAGTGTGACAATAAAGCTGAGTCACCCCCAGTATGGATCCAGTGAAATCACACACTACCTGGTTGAATACTGTGCTAATGAGTCAGATGG